AAACCTCCACCTATTCGGGTCTTCAGTTAACCATTGATGGAACACGTGATTTTCATCATCTCTTGCCTCTATTGCTAATAATGATGTTAGGATTTGTCTTTTTATATCACTTGGTCTAATGCTTGAGAGGACAGGAAGTACATCTGTACATGTATATACAGCACACCTATAGGTTAGGGAGTGTCCTTCTCAGCAGCTTGGAGGCAGAGAGGGATCTTGGAGTCAGAATTGACTCCAAGATGAACATGAGCCAGCAGTGTAATGAGGCCATCAACAAGGCCAATCGCACCTTGTCATGCATTAGCAGGTGCATGACTAATAGATCAAAGGAGGTGATGCTCACCCTCTATGCGGCACTGGTCAGGCCACAGTTGGAGTACTGTGTCCAGTTTTGGGCGCCGCACTTCAAGAGGGACGCAGGGAATCTCGAGAGGGTCCAGAGGAGGGCCACTCACATGATTAGTGGCCTTCATGATAGACGCTACGGGGGGAGGTTGAGAGACCTGAATCTCTTCAGCCTTCACAAGAGATGGCTGAGGGGAGATCTTGTGGCCACCTATAAATTTATTAGGGGAGGTCAACGGGGAATAGGGGAAGCGCTGTTTACTAAGGCGCCCCAGGGAGTGACTAGGAATAATGGGTGTAAACTAGTTGAGAGTGGAATTAGGTTAGATATTAGGAAGAAATTTTTCACAGTAAGGGTGGCCAGGATCTGGAATGGGCTTCCAAGAGAGGTGGTACTATCACCTAGCTTGGAGGTCTTCAAGAGGAGGCTAGATAGTCACCTGGCTGGGGTCATCTGACCTCAGTTCTCTTTCCTGCCAGGGGCAGGGGGTTGGACACGATGATCCAACGTGGTCCCTTCCGACTCTACAGTCTATGAATCTATGTATAAGTTGTGTAGCCTGTTATGAGTCTCAGCACACTGTTAAGTATAGTGTTGAGCTTTTTAGTGAAACAACTTCCGGACCATACAGCAGCAAAATATTCTGCTGAGGCATATACCATTGCAAGTGCAGTGGTTCTGAGCACTTTAAAGTTGGCACTCCATGTTGTGCTGGCTAAACATCTTAATGCAGCTACCCATGCAATGACTTTACTGCTGACATTCTGAATGTGATGTTTATAGTTGAGGGAATGGTCTCATGTGACTGTTAGGGAGGTTGTGGTATGCTCATGGGGAAGGATATAGTTGCCTACTCTGATAGTCAGTGTGCTGTTGGCTCAACGATTGTCTAGGTAGAAGAGTGATGGTACTGATACTCAACCTTAAGTGCCACCTATAGAGGTAGTCAGTGATGAGTTCTATGTCCCTACTCAGTGTCTTTTCCAGTTCTGTCATGTCTATTCCTCGGGTTACTATGACAACATTGTCAGCATACATGTATCACTTAGATGCTGGCAGAAGGTCTGAGGTATATACCTGGAAAAGTATTGATGCTAGCAGTGTGACCCTTGGGGGACTCCATTCTTCAGAATTTGTAGTCTGCTTTTTTCACCTTGGCTGGAAGTGAGCTCGAATGATCTACTGGAGATCATGTTCATGATGAAAGTGCATAGCTTATGGTCAGGTATCATAGAATATTTGAGGACTTGGTGCCATACAGTATCATAGGCAGCTATAAGGTCGATACAGATTGTGCCCCTTTTCTGCCTCATTTCAAATCCAGTTTGTATGTCAGATGTAAGTACTGCAACTTGGTCAGTGTTCTTTTGGGAGCCGTGAGTCAATGATGTTCTCTATTTTATTTAGAATTATGTGCTGAGATTGTATGTAATACAGAATAGATAGGTTGGTGTGTCAGGGCACTGTGTATGCCTGCCACTTTAAGGGCCTGGAGCTGGCAGCCACCAGGTGCCTGATGAGGGCAGCCATTTTGGAGCTAAGGGCTGCCTATATAAACAGGTCAGTTCACCTGCCTAGAGGCCAGGCAGCAACATTGCCTGGCCGGAGGGCTGCTGAGATCATCTGGAGGTAAGGAGGCTCCTGGTCCTGGGCATGACCTAAAACTGCACCCTGCCGGGAGTGGGTAGCCTGGTGGGGCTCTGTCATGGGAGCCCCCAGGAAATGCCAGGCCAGTTACCACCCTGGTGAAAGGTGGGTTGGGGTGTCTTAACCCCTAGCCCCCACCACTAGGTGGGTAACCCCAGTGTTTGTGAGGGGCCCAGAGGGTGGACCCTGTGAGAGAGTGAGGGGCTAGAGACCCAACCCGGATGAGAGAATACCCTCGACTGGCCCATGCTGGGGCCAGGACCAGGAGGGTCAAAAGGGCCAGGGGCCCACTGTGAGGGATGCCCAAGAGCTGGGGGCCTGGGGTCCTGACTGGCCTGGAGGTGGGCCAGGGCTGGTAGCTGAAGGTCCTGGGGGGGCCACACCTGAGAGGGGAAAATGGCTTTGGGGGGGCTAGGTAGCCCGAATGAAGGCGGAGAGGCTGCCTGATTGGAGGGATCATGGAGGGCCCTGTTTGGATGATTCTGGGTCTCAGCATGGGGGCCAGTAAAGATATGAACATCAAGATGCCATCTGCGAGGCTTGGGCAGTGGTATAGGGGAGGAAAGGAGCTGCAGAGAGCACCCCCTGGCATTGGGGCACCAAAATGGGTAGCCTCCCGCTTAATTGACATCCATTAATGAATTGATTAACATCAAGGCATGGTGGACGAGAAGGTGGGCGGTTGGCCCAGGAACAGGTGGGAGGGCCATGGAGATCGGCCCCAAGTAGGCCCCCTGTTACAGTTGGTCAGCAGCTCTTTGGATGCTCTGGTGATTTATTGAGTTTTAGGATATTATGTCAGCTTTTCTTCAGATTTTTGGAAATCTGTTACTTTCTAGACACGTATACGTGCATTTCTGAAGCCATCTCTTCATTGTGGTTTCAAGCTTGTTAACAAATTCTGGAAATATCTTATATGGTCCAGCAGGCTTGCTAGTCTTGATCACTTTAATAGCTGTGTTGAACTCACTGTCAGAGATTGGGATGATTTAAGTTAGGGTTGGTGTAAGGTATACAGTATATTTACAGACTGCTTCATTCAAATAGTCAAATCTTGTGTACCTGGAAGCTATAGAAGCCTTTTATGTGCCATGCTGGGATGAGCAGCGTGAACAGCTCTTTATCATCATCAAGCAATGCAATGACCCTGCAATCCTAAAAAGAACTACAGAACAGCTGGCTACCACATTGAACAACATTGAAAAGGAGAGGTGTCCCCTACTGAAGGATTGGGTGTGACCCACTCCAGCAGACAAGCATGGCACACCATTAACTGTTTTACAGGCAAAGGCACTAAAAACCGATGTTGCCTTGTGTCAGCAAACTCCCTCTCAAAAATACCGCACAACAGCAGCAAGTGCGGGGACCCAAGCAAGCAACACAAAGACATCATTTGATGCTTGACTCGGGAACAAGCTTAATCACCTTATGCCAGCCTTACTGGGTGAAGCATGCATTTCAGTCACAGGGGATAGGCAAATGATTATTGGAAGGTGCACAGAGGGGGGCAGCAAAGGTCAGTTAAACTGGCACTTCTTCTCTTCCTTTTAAAAAAAAAAAAAAAAAAAAAAAAAAAAAAAAAAAAAATTTGTGTTCCAATCCAAATCAATTCCAAATCTGTGAATCATTCAAGAACCATATGCGGCCCTACTACCAGCAAGCATCCCCTACTCCTGCCTGGGGCTTCAGATGCTTCAAAATCCTTTGGCAGGCATCCTACATGCTGGCCCAATGCTGGAGGCTTGGGGTTTGGAAGCCCCCCGAGTTTTGCTTGCTCTCAGCCATATAACCACAGGAGCAAGCTAGGGAGGAGTCTCTTCTTTTCATAAAGTATATGTATAGCCAAGATTTTCCCACTGGAAGCAAAAGTGGGAGAGTATGCCTTACCTTGGTCAAGGTGCTTTCCCCTGCAAATAGGAAAACCATCTGTTTGGTCATGGTGTTTCCCTGGCAGGTGCCCTGAAGGGGCATATGTGTTAACCAGATGCCTCAGGGGCCAGGTGCAGGGCCTGCGTCGTGTGACAGCAAAGGGATGTGCTGTAGTCACCCCTGGTGTGCGGGCAGAAATTGCAGGGCTCCGTACTGGACTACAGCAGCACCTGCAATTTCCAGGATACAAATCAATATTTTGGAATTACACCCTTTTACCCTGAAGCGGATGCCTACACTTGACGCTGCCTGGCACCGCAGCCTCCGCCGCATCAGCAGCTCAACCAGGTTGCACACTAAGAGCAAACCTTGACCAGACAGACTGCGCATGCGCAGCCTGCACCGTCCCCGCCTCCCCGCTTTTTTTTTTTTTTTTTGAACATGCGCACTAGAAAGAATCAAGCCTCGCTCCCTTCCCCCTCACTGAACAGCCCCTGGCTCTTCCCCAGGCGCATGCGCAGCCATGAGCGGCGGAGGCAACGCCCACCCCTTCCGCCTGGCCTTGCGCGCGCGCGCAA